TTTTTTTTTTTTTTTTTTTTAAGAACCAAGGTCCCGATATGTTGCCAGGAGCAGCCCCACTACCAATCAGCACGGTGGGGGGGTACCGGCCTGCCCCATTTCGGACCTGGGCCAGTTCACCTGTCCTTAGGCAGCCTGGTGGCCCCCGCTCCCAGGAGGTCGCCGTATTGGTACAGAACTTGGTGTGGACACCCCGTTGGCATAATGACCAACTGTTCTAAACGTCGCTTCCAACTCCTCAATTCTATGCAGCTAACTGTCCCCCCTTCCTCTTGGGCTCTCTCCTCTTTGTGCGGTATCCTGTACCTTCCCCAGGGAGAGCCATGAGGCTCACCAGGGCCTGGAGCTGCTGGTTCTGCTGGTTGGCAGCTTCCAGGTGCTCCTAAGGGGCCGGGAAAGAGACTGAGAAGGCACGGAGGCTGCCAGGTCGTCCCCTCAGGGCCCCGCCCTCAGCAACTCCCTCCCCTGGGTCTCCTGCAACTCTTTTTGTTGTTGTTGTTGTTGTTTTATTTTTTGCTTTTTTTTTTTTGAGACAGAGTTTCACTCTTGTTACCCAGGCTGGAGTGCCATGGCACAATCTTGGCTCACCGCAACCTCCACCTCCCGGGTTCAGGCAATTCTTCTGCCTCAACCTCCTGAGTAGCTGGGATTACAGGCACGCGCCACCATGCCCAGCTAATTTTTTGTAGTTTTAGTAGAGATGGCATTTCACCATGTTGACCAGGATGGTCTCGATCTCTTGACCTCGTGATCCACCCACCTCGGCCTCCCAAAGTGCTGGGATCCACAGGCTTGAGCCACCGCGCCCAGCTCCTGCAACTCTTGACTCAGCCACCGCTTTGCCCGAGCAACCTGCTGCTGCAGCTGGTCCACGGGCTGGGTCTGCAGCAGTAACCACCTGTGCAGCGCCTCCTTCTCGGGGCTCAGCTGCTGAGAGGCGGCCACGTGCTGCTGCAGGTGACCCAGGTACTGGTCTCGCTGCTGCTGCAGACTCTGAGCCTCCTGGCTCTTCAGCTTCACCTGCAGGAAGACCCTGGGCATGAGGGCAGTTGGTGGCTGGCTTCAGACTCTGGGCCCATAAATAAGGTAGCGAAGGATCTGCAGGGCTCTTTCGCCTGCCCAGACCCCTGGCCTCTTGCTCCAGGCCTCAGTGACTGCCTCCCTTGCCTAGAGCCCCATGCCTCCTTCCCCAGCCTCAAATCTCACACCCTTCTTCCCACCATTTGAACCATGGGCCACAGACTAGTGAAAACACAGAGGGAGCCAACCACCATCTGCTAAGTGTGCCACGTTCCTAATGCTTTCCATGTATTATCACATTTCATCCTCAGCACCTCTGCAGGGAAGATACTAACTTCCGCTTTTTCTTTTTAAAGACAGTGTCGCCCTGTCGCCCAGGCTGGACTGTAGTGGCACGATCTCAGTTCACTGCAACCTCCGCCTCCCAGGTTTCAAGAGATTCCCGTGCCTCAGCCTCCCGATTAGCTGGGATTACAAATTCGTGCCACCACACTGGCTAATTTTTTGCATCTTTAGTAGAGACGGGGTTTCGCCATGTTGGCCAGGCTGGTCTCGAATTCCTGACCTTGTAATCAGACCGCCTCGGCCTCCCATAAGTGCTGGGATTACAGGTGTGAGCCAACGAGCCTCATACTAACTTCCTTTTTAAGTTAAAGAAACCGAGACTTAGAGATGCCAAGTAGTTGAATGGTGAGCACCTGCTGCTGGTAGGCGGTGCCTGAGCCCACGCCCGGATCCAGCTGAATCTAAGGAGCCTCTTCTACCACTTTCCCTGTGACTGAGCAGCTCTATGCCTCTAGTTGG